AAAAAAAAAAAAAAAAAAAAAAAAAAAAAAACAGCACAACAACGATAACAAAGGAAATACATCTAAATGCTTCAATAAAGTAGGAATCTAAGGAGATACTGAACTTACTGCCAATGTTCTCTTCTTGTTAGGGTCTCACACGAAGTCAGCCCGCAGAAGGATTAAAGGTTGTTTGCCTTGTAAAGAGAGCTTCTAGAGCCTTGAAGAAAGGGCCTGATTGAAATGAATTTTTTGTCACATGAGGACAAAATGCCCAGGACTGCCCACTCACTGCCTGGGGTCTCACCAGGATTGTGTGCTGTATTAATTTATTTTGCCAGAATGCCAGGGTCTTGTCTCTCCAGTTTGGTTATGCTACCACACTTAGTGGAAAAACACCAAGGCAATCTGTCCCTTCCTTTGGATCTGATCAGCCCTGGGTGAGCTCTAACAAAAAAAGCAAGGTGGCTTCTTTCAAATTGCTATTTACTCTCTTGATGGAGTTGTTAGAGGCGTGTGAACCAGAGCAACTCCATTTTGAACAGGAGCTGAGCAAAATGAGGCTGAAGCCTACTGGGCTGCATTCCCAGAGGGTTAAGGCATTCTAAGTCACAGGATAAGATAGGAGTTTGGCACAGGATACAGGTCATAAAGACCTTGCCGATAAAACAGGCATCAGTAACGAAGCCAGCCAAAACCTACCAATACCAAGATGGCAACAAGAGTGTCCTCTGGTCATCCTCACTGCTACGCTCTCACCAGTGCCACGACAGTTTACAAATGCCATGGCAACATCAGAAGTTACCCTATATGGTCTAAAAAGGGGAGGCGTGAATACTCTACCCCTTGTTTAGCATATCATCAAGAAATTACCATAAAAATGGGCAACCAGAAGCCTTCGGGACTGCTCTGTCTATGGAGTAGCCACGCTTTATTCCTTTACTTTCCTAAGAAACTTTCTTTCACTTTATGGATTCACCTTGAATTTTTTTCTTACACGAGATCCAAGAACCCTCTCTTGGGGTCTGCATTGGGACCCCTTTTCTGTAATAGTGACCCGACTTTCTGAGTTTCATGGTCTCAGATAGCTGCGGGAAAGCTAAGCAATCTACCATCACAATGCTGCCTAACCACAGAGACACAACAAGATCTGCTGTCCTTACCACTAGTAAGTATTTTCACTTCTCTTATTCTTAAGATGAGTTTTGAATAATTCCTGTCATCAAAGGAATAATCACCTCCTCAGACTTATAGGGAGGCTCTCAATGCTGGATATGTGTTTATTCTGAAATCAACATGGGAAGGACAGTTCATTCTGAATGTATTTGATCAGAGACCTGGACTTTAAATCCATATTACTGCCATTACCATTTATCCCAGGCAGAAGAAGCTAGCAAAGAATTACTTGTGTGTGTAACATGAGAGGTGTCCCTACGGGGCCCCACCAATTCCTGTGTCTGTTTGGGTAGGGTTTATTCAACAGGGTCTGACACTCTTGTCTGCACATGACAGTGCTCACTCAAGTACCTTTGGCTGTGAAGTTGACATCTGGGAGGGAATTTCTGACTCCAGCCCCACCTCCAGTTCCTACGCAGCCAAAGTGCAACTCAGATTCTGAGCTCTGCCTCAGCCAGGGAACCAGAGTCCCCTCAATTTGTGATTTGTCAAGGAATTCATTTGCAACAGAAACTGGAAGAGCATGGTACAGTACGACCAGGGGAAGGACAGATTCTTGTGGATTCTTTTTTTTTTTTGAGACAGAGTTTC